CCGGAACACCGACGCATCGCCAACCTCCCCCGTCCAACGCAGTGTGGGCGAGGTCTCCGGCAAGGAGACACGAGGCCAGAGGTTGAGCTGATGCGCAGCGTACCGGACCGCAAACGACTACAGAAAATGGGGAGCAGCCGCATGGATCATGGAGGTACGAGCGACCTCCATGACTAAGCCAATGCGGCGCTCAGCGATCCCATTTTTCTGAGGGGAGTCCGGAAGCGTGAACGACTGGAGAATGCCCTCCCCACGACAAAAGTCCCGCAAGAGGGTGGAGGAGAACTCACCACCTCTGTCAGAGTGCAGACGCAGGACAGGAAGGTCCTGGCCGAACCGCTCGCGGAGCTGGAGACGGACTGTGCAGATCCAAGGGATCAATACATCAACGACTTGACCCTTGCTGCGCAAGGGGAAGACCGTGGTGTACCGCGTGTAGTCGTCAACTACCAGCAGAAAGTAGCGCTCGCGGCTCTGTCCACTGACGTGGGCTGGGCCCCACACGTCCATGTGGAGATTCTGCAGGGGAGCAGTCATCGGGGGAAACGAGGAGGAGTGAGGATCAGCGCGCTGCCGCCCCTCGACGCGAGGGAGGCAGGGCGAGGTAGGCGAGGGCGGCAGGGGAGGCAGTGACCTGGGGAGGCCAGAGACAAGAAGACGAGAGTGCATGCCACACAGGCGAGGCAGTGAGGGGTGACCCAGACGGTGGTGCCACAGAAGAGTCTGGTGCGACAGGAGGCGACACGAGCAAGAGGCGGCTACCTGACCTGACGCAGACACCTGAGCAGACGCAGCTACCTGAGAAGGCTCGGTAGTGAGTATGTACAGACTCGACCCTGGCCGACAAGTGAACGTAGCCAGGTGACGCCCCGTCCGTGTGCACGTGCAGATCGACACACGCTGACCCCCTGGAGTGGTGGTAGTGACCATCGCATCCTGGAGGGCAGCGGTACTCACCAAGTTCGTAGAGAACGAGGGGAGGTGAAGACCTGACAGTGAGCCGGACGGAACCGCCGGACACGGGAGGACAGTGGAAGAACGAGCCACAACCGGTCTCTCGGAGGGGTCGGCTAGTCTGACCGGGACAGGTGCAGGAAGAGGAGTGAGGGTGGTGCTAAACCCGAAAGAAACAGCGCGAGGCGCCGGAGTCCAACGTGAAAGTGTGCAAGGCCTCAGCAGGCGCAGTACCAGGGAGAGTACCAGACTCACTAGCACCTAGAGCAGTAGCAGCTATACATGGGTCAGGCGGCACACACCGGTAACAGTCACCCTCAGCACTAACAGACAAAGCATACATAGCAGAAAGAATAGCATCAAAGTCTATGTCAAAAATAGCAATCCTAGACTTAAGCAGATCTGCCCAGCGAGGGAGCTCGACGTCGTCACCAAACTCAGCACGCCAAGCGTCGTCGAGGCGGGAGAAGCAGCGGTGCTGAGTGTGGAGCCGCCCGCAAGTCTGACTAGCACGGTCACCCGTGCGAATGACATACGGGCAACTACCCCCAAACGCCCCACGCATAAACCACTCACGAAGCTGCTGGGGAGACGGGGTCTCGCTCCGACGCTGCTGCTGCTGACGCTGGCCACCCCCAGAACCGACACGCCGAGCGCCAGTCCCACCGCTACCGGTCCCACCGCCTCCACTGCCGCCACTCCCACCGCTGCCTCCACCACCGCCACCAGAGCCCCCACTCCCGCCAACAGTCGCTCCGCCGCCACCACCTCCACTGCTGCCCCCACCACCACTCCCGCTGCCACCTCCACCACCACCGCTGCCACCTCCACCACCCCGGCCACCCTTGCCCTTGCTGCTGCGGCGCTTCGCACTAGCAGAAGCAGCCCTGACGTCCTCAGTAACAGAGACGTCTGCAGCAGCAGTAGAGGCGTAGGAGGGGGCAAGGGGGGAGGGGGAACACCCCTCAAAGAAGGGCGGACGCGGAGTGCCACGAGCAGCACCTACAGCAACTGAACTAGTCTCAGCTGCGAGGAGATGCTGCTCGAGGAGGTCAACAGTGAGGGAGGTGGGGTCAAGAGAGAGGAAGTGGTCCCTGACAGAGCGAAGAGAGTCAGGGAGGTGAGTGGTTGGAGGGTTTGTATCAAGGAACTCGGCAGGAACGGCATCGCGGTAGCGAGCGTCACTAGTGCGAAGGTGGGAAACCAGGTCCTCGACTGTGGTAAAGGCGGACAGCTCGGGGAACAGGTAGGGCAGAAGAAGGCGGCCTAGAGCAGCAGTGGCAGGGGATGAGTAGCGAGCGACTACAGCGTCGTACAGTGCCTGCGCTGTCTTGTGCTGTCCGAAGTGAGCGCATTCAGCTATTGGCAGGTGGTTGCGAATGGCTAAGCGGGCAGCAGCGTCGCGAGTAAGCCACTGTGAGCGAGTCGAACTGTCAGCTGTAGCGGGAGGGGCAGTAGCGGCGCCTGACGCTAGGTCAAAAAGCGAGACACTGTCCTTAGAATCTCTCAGTAGGTACAGCTGCAGGTCGTCTAGCCACGTGTCAAACTTGAACTGGTCTGCCCTCATGATCAAACGCGAGAACCCGAAGCGAAGCCATAGCTGTGCAGTACGCAGGATAGAAGTAGTAGCAGCAGTAGCAGCTGTGGCAGTAGCAGCAGTGACAGTACCGGGCCGTAGCAGTAGCTGTAGCAGTAGCGGGCAAGGTACGGGGCCGGGCGCAGGCTAGGTACAGGGCCGGGCGTTGGGCTAGGTATAGGGCTGGGCGTGGCTAGGGACCGGGCAGGGCTTTGGGCTAGGTACGGGGCCGGGCGCTGGGCTAGGTGCGGGGCCGGGCGGGGCGAGGGACCGGGCCGGGCGGGGTCGGGCGCTGGGCGAGGGACGGGGCCGGGCGCTGGGCGAGGGGCGGGGCCGGGCGCGGGCTAGGGTCGGGGCCGGGCGCTGGGCTAGGTACGGGGCCGGGCATGGCTAGGGACCGGGCCGGGCGCGGGCTAGGTACGGGGCCGGGCGCTGGGCGAGGGACGGGGCCGGGCGCTGGGCGAGGGGCGGGGCCGGGCGCAGGCTAGGGTTGGGGCCGGGCGCTGGGCTAGGTACGGGGCCGGGCGGGGCTAGGGACCAGGCACGGGCTAGGTACGGGGCCTGGCGCTGGGCGAGGGATGGGGCCGAGCACTGGGCGAGGGACGGGCCGGGCGCGGGCAAAGTACGAGCCGGGCGCGGGCTAGGTACGGGGCCTGGCGCGGGCGAGAGACGGGGCCGGGCGCGGGCTAGGTACGGGCCGGTCGCGGGCTAGGTACGGGCCGGGCGCGGGCGAGAGACGGGGCCTGGCGTGGGCTAGGTACGGGCCGGTCGCGGGCTAGGTACGGGTCGGTCGCGGGCTAGGTACGGGCCGGTCGCGGGCTAGGTACGGGCCGGGCGCGGGCTAGGTACGGGCCGGTCGCGGGCTAGGTACGGGCCGGGCACGGGCGAGAGACTGGGTCGGGCGCGGGCTAGGTACGGGCCGGGCGCGGGCTAGGTACGGGCCGGTCGCGGGCTAGGTACGGGCCGGTCGCGGGCTAGGTACGGGCCGGGCGCGGGCGTGAGACGGGGCCGGGCGCGGGCTAGGTACGGGCCGGGCGCGGGCAAAGAACGGGGCCGGGCGCGGGGCTAGGGGTCGACGGGCCGCGAAGGCTAGGAGCGACGGGCCTAGGGGGGTACTCGCAGCGTAGCAGGTGGTGGGCCCAAGGAACCTGCTCTGATTCCATGTGAAAATAACGAACGAGAATGAATAAACTATGAAACAGTTGGGTACAAGTACTAACCCTAATTGGGTTGTACCCCTTATGGGCTACCCCACTATAGACTACACAAAGGTAAAAGCTACAATGTTCTGACAATATATGTTGATGCAATTCAAAACTTACAGGTGCTTCTGTAGATATGCTAATGTAATTCATAACTTGCAGGTGCTACTGTAGATATGTTGATGCAATTCTTAACTTACATGTGCTATCGTAGATATGCAGATGCAATTCATATTACAGGTCCTGCATGCGGAAGATTTGCTTACCATATGTTATTCATAAATTACAGGTGCTAGATAGGTATGCTGGGATGCAGTTCCTGCTAGGATGCACAGATTGGAACAGATACATGAACTACTGTTACCTAGGCGGCAGGGTGGTCACAAGAAAGCACCCTTCAAACAAGTCTTGTCATTTTGTCCAAAGGCTCTCTAAGGCCCTTTTGACTACCATATTGCTCTCAACGGGCCAGCCCCGAGCAAATGCAATGAGAGCCAAGGAGAGCCATGTCAGTAGATATGCATTATGGATGCCCGATTGATTATATGAGGGGTTACAAGCGCGTTCGCCTGGAGGGTTATGGACGCACAAACCCGCTACACAAACAAACCATTTTATCCCAATGGTCTAAGTGGTTGGGATTCTGACATGGTATCAGAGCGGTCTCGGGTTCGAATGCCGGTGTATGCACATGAAGGCCGTTGCCGCTGTACTCAGTCCTGGGCCTGCCATAATCTCAACCACTATACCGTTGGGATAAAAGGGCTTGTTAAGTAACGGGTCAGTGCACCCATAACCCCCCAGGACAACGAGCCTGTAACCCATCCCTAGGATCAATCGAGGATCTCCAATGGACCTCTGATAAAGCCTCCCAGTATGGGAGAGGTGTTGGTAGATATGCACTGTAGATACCTGATTGAACCCAGGAGGGGTTACAGACGCGTTCGCCTGGAGGGTTATGGGCGCACAAACCCGCTACACAAACAAGTCTTATTATCTCAATGGTCTAAGTGGTTGGGATACTGACATGCCAAGGTGCGCGAATTCCTCCGCAGCAGCATAACTCCAACACGGACCCCAATCTGTAACCGCTCGTATATTATGTTTCGGGTGTTCTGAAAGGGTACACATTCTATATCTGATAAATGCCAGGATTTTGAAATGCTGCTGCTGCTGTTGTACAGGGCAGAAAAAGATTCAACAAGCTGCTGCTTCAAGAAGATAGAACCACTTTACAACCTCTCGTCCGCCCTCGTCCTCATGCCTCTCTACACGAGGCCACGCTCCTTGAAGGCAGCAAACATGGCGTTGCCGATCTGAGCGGGTGAGCGCACCACCTTCACTCCTGCGCCCTCCAGTGCCTTGATCTTGTCCTGCGCCGTGCCCTTGCCCCCGCTGATGATCGCTGTGGAGGGGAGAGCGGGGACCAGGTGGAATGCGGGACCAGGAGAGATGAAATTGGGCAGATGGAATTGGTAGAAGCAGGAGAAGACAGGGAGGTAGCAGTCATCCAATGCCCATTCCTACAGGCAAGCCCCCAGCACACCTCCTGCATGCCCCATGCACATGCCCTCCATGCCCTCGGCATACCTCCTGTGTGCCCCATGCACATCTCCCACGTGCCCCCTGCGTACCTCCTGCATGCCCCATGCGGCGGCCGGGCGGGGCAGTGAGGCCGGCGATGAAGGAGACGACGGGCTTGGTGGTGCCACTCGCCCTGATAAACTCCGCTGCATCCTCCTCTGCACTGCCTCCGATCTCACCAATCAGAATGATGCCTGTGGAGGGGGGGGCAGTCACAGGGGCAGTCGGAGGGACAGCCAAAGGCAGGCAGTCACAGGCAGTCACAAGGGCAGTGGCGCACGGGAGGATAGCTGGCGTGAGGGCACAGAGGGACGACCTCGATGGACGGTGGGGATGATGTGGACGGACGACAAAGGAGGGATAGCATGCAGGGAGAGGAATACCACACAACCACCACATCATTCCCACTGCACCCTCCATCCCTTCCCCACGGCACTGCACCCCAAGGCATGGTGGGGGCGGGCATGCTGACCTTCGGTCTGCGGGTCTTTAATGAACTTGTTGAGACAGTCGACGAAGTTGGTGCCGTTGAATGGGTGTGCTTTGAGTCCACACACAACACACCTCAAAATGCACCCCAAGGCATGGTTGGGAGGGACGAGCGGGCGTACCTTCAGTCTGGGGGTCTTTAATGAATTTGTCAAGGCAGTCGACAAAGTTGGTGCCGTTGAAGGGGTCGCCGCCCATGCCCACGCACGTCGACTGCCCCAACCCCACCTGCGTCGTCTGGTACACCTGCTCCAAGCACGGCGTCGGGGCGGGGGGCGGGTGGACAGCACAAGGGGGCGGCTGATGAAGGCACGCACTTGCAGGCCAAAGCAAGAAGCAGGAATGCGGGCACGAGTGGGTTTCATTTCAGGATGAAGACGAGGACGGAGGGACCACGGCAGCAGCAAAGGCAGCGCGGGCGGGTGGCACTCACGGCCTCGTAGGTGAGGGTGGCACTCACAGCCTCGTAGGTGAGGGTGCCGGAGCGCGAGACGATGCCGATGCGGCCGGGTTTGTGGATGTAGCCGGGCATGATGCCCAGCTTCGCCTCGCCCGGCTTGATGATGCCCGGGCAGTTGGGACCGATCAGCCTCGTCTTGCTCTGCTGCATCAGCGCTGCCTTCACGCGGACCTGCCCGTAATGACACGTGGCGCAATGCGGTTGGAGGGAAGAGGAGGCGTGAAGAGGGGAAGTTGGTCACGGGGGAGCAGCAACGCACGACGTGCATCCAGGCTTTGCAGGCCCATGACCAAGCTGCCATCATGCGATCATGCCCTCATGACGTCATGCCATCATGTCACCTGGTCCCCGCGCGTCACGGCGCTCACCATGTCGTGCTGAGGGATGCCCTCGGTGATGCAGACGACGAGGTCCAGCTCCGCCTCCATGGCCTCCATGATCGCCGCCGCCGCGAATGGCGGCGGCACGTAGATCACGGACGCGTTGGCGCCGGTGGCCTTCTTGGCCTCCTCGACGGTGTTGAAAATGGGCAAGCCCAGGTGCTCCGACCCGCCCTTCTTCGGAACTACGCCGCCCACCTGGCCGTACGACACGCGGCAGGGATAGGAAGGGATGAGGGAGGGATGTGGAGGGATGCGAGGGGATGGGCACAAGGGGAAGCGGATACGGGAGGTGAGCCAATGAGGGAGGGGCGAGGCAAGGAGGGAGAGGTGCATGTGTACGGAGTATGCTGAAGGGGGAGGCTGGTGGATGGGAACATCGGGAAAGACATCGCCTGAGAGCAAAGTAGGGAGGATCAGTGGCATCAAGAAGGTGTCCGAAGAGCGTCGCAGTGGATCGGTGATGCCTGGAAGGAAGTTAGTCAGCCCGGAGTCAGTGTTGTGTGGAAGGACCGGGTTTTCAGCCAGTCAGTAACGCTACGTCTCCTAGAAGAGATTCCATTGTGGGCGAAGCGTCTGTAAGGACGTGTCCGTGTACGATGCCGACAGCGGAAACCCGTTCCGGTGCGTCGTACTCTTTCTCCGACGCCAGCCAGCCACGTCGAGACTCGACGGAGAGAGAAAAAAGGGTTGACGGAAGAGCAACGACGGAACAATATAAGCTCTCGAGAATGAGTGGAGACGTCAATGTCGCGCGAAAGTGGATCATCACATCCAAGCCAAGGCGTTGACGGCCGATGGCAAAAAGCGCGTTCACGACCCATGAAAGCCGACCGGCGCAAATGCTCACGAAAGGCGGTACGTTCAGTCTCTTACTTTCATGGTCAGTCCATCCTCACCTACCTGAAGACGACGATAACGACTAGGAGCTCTAGACTGTCGAGATTAGGAGCTACGCGCAAAAAGCCAACAGACATTCCTGCTTCGTCTTTCATTGCGCCTGCATATTCATGCACGAAAATCGGTCTGACCGCAATGAAACCGCAGAAGTTCTTCTGTTTGGCGCAGCAATCGCACGTCGGAGCGTACCATGTTGGTGCCGTACTCGATGGCCTGCTCCGTATGGAAGGTGCCGTTCTTCCCCGTGATGCCTTGACACAGCACACGTGTCGTCTTATCCACGAACACCGCCGGCTGATGCGCTGTCGCCACGGATGACGACGACGACGAATACCGACGCGCCTGCGCGGCAGCGCGAAGGAGGGTGGTAACTGCTCGCCTTCCGCTCATGATGGCAAATCGGTGTTAGCAGTTGAATGGGTTGACGGCGAAATGAAGGAATGAATGGAGGATCTCAGGATGGGCGCCGATGCGTTGGGATCTGGTTCAAGATGGCGAATGGTTTGATTGGGTCGGAAGCGGAGGAAGATATTACTGGCGTTACGGCGAGGCGAGCAGCAGAACCCTAGAAGCCGGTGATGGTGGTGGTGATTCTGAAACTAACAAATTGAAGAACAAGAAGACTGGAAGTTGTAGTAGTTGCTGTAGGCAGGCATGTGGAGTGGCGATGCAAGGGCGACAGCAAGAGCTCGGGGAAAAGAGGAAGGAGAGGGAAAGTAGTAACAAGCTGCAAGCTGGAAAGGAGGTTCGTCAGGCGTTGCGAAATCACGACTTCGTCTGTTCTCGAACTCGTTGGTAAATGGTAACGTGTCTTGTGTTTGGCACAGAAGCCCGTTGACGCCAGCGGAATTGCAATGACGCGTGGCCCTGCAGAAATTCGGGAGAATCTCTGGGTGCTGGTGGGGGAAAGCAGAGCTCGAGGGTGTCCCTGTCAGCAGGGTTCCACAAAGAGAGAAAGGGAACTGACGCTCATGCCAATCAGAGGCGTTGTTACAGCACACGTCGGGAGGCATTTACGAATCTCTCGCGTCTGAAGATTCAGGTCCTCCTCAGCACAACTCAAATCTTGGAACTGCGTGAAGCACAATAGTGTGGTTTCGGTTATTACGTTATGAGGCCTTGCAGGGTCTTCAAACTAGTACAAAATTGATCCATGGGTTAAAGCCCGCGTCCCAAATTGCGGGCCGCGAGGGTCAAGTTTTTAAAACTTGACGAAGTTGAGTGTCCAAGCTTTTGAAAGTCACGCACTTGCAATTTGGGACTTTCGAAGACAGATTCACTCACCAGGGGGAAAACCGAGGGTTGGCTGGGTCTCGCGAAAAAAACGAACCTAGACGAAATCGGAAACTCTCGCCAAAGCCCACACCAGAAAAACTCCCTCTGGTCAACTTTTAACAGCATGAACAATTTGGGCCGCCGGCTTTAAGTGTTCGAACTACAAAGCACTACCATTAGAGCTTTGGGTCCCAGCTAATGGGATTATTTCACTAAGGCAACTATGATCACACACATCGGCGTATTCTTGTGCTTATGGGTTACCAACATCTTTAGGCAACTCTTATGATTCCTCTGCCGAATGTCCCACCGGTACAACCCGAGGGGAGAGAAGGTCCACAGTGGAATGCTCCTGTGGTTTCACTATGAGCATAGGCACATTCTGTCGTCGCAGCAAGGTCATCAGCATGATCAGGCAAAACGTTGAAAAGGGGAATCATCAGCAAATAGCAGCATGAGAAGGCCAACCGCACATACTGACATGTCAATGCCTTCAGAACTATTCAGTTTTACTGACTCGTAAAAAAAATAAAAAATAAAAGTGAATTTGACACTGTAAAGGACAAGAGGAAAACACAAGGTGGAAGGGGGGTGTGAAATGCAGCAGTGCGGGCGATGGTGGGGCTCGTACCGCATGGTGAGCACAGTAGTCGCTGACACTTCCTAGAATCATCCTGTGCAGCACAGGCGCAGCGAAGGAAAGGAAGAAACAGCAGGCTATGAATCGAAAGGAATGAAAGCACGGCAAGTGGAAATGCTAATGGTGAAAAACAGAGAGCATGGGAGGGATGGAATGAAAGGCACTGACTTTTTGAGGCCGGAGAGCCCTCTGCACCCCATGAGCAGCATGTCGGCCCCGAACTGCTCAGCGGAGTAGCAGATGGTCTCCCGCACGTCCCCTCGTATCACCTCCTGGTGTGCACACACATGCACACCCCCACACATTGAGAGCCATGCCCGTGGCGTCACACATGCACAAGCCACGGCCATGCAGATACACAAGCATACACACATGCACAAGCAGCAACCACAGACTCACACATGCACACATTCACGCACGCACACAATGAAGATTGCCATGTGGAGTGACATTTTAAGCCTTTGCATATAAAATGGCTGAATGGCTGAGGAACGTACAGACTGTGCATGAACCGAAGCAGTGAAGCCTGCAAGCCATATAGACCCCCAACCCACCTTCTTGCACACGATGTGCATGGCGCGCACTTGCTCTGCAAACTCCTCCAGCATCGCATCTGCCTCCTGCAGCTCTGCTCGCTCCAACCGCTCTATCATCTCTGCCCCGTGGCGTTACACATGCATGGGTGGGGGGTGTCACGGGGGCATCAGGTGGATACAGGATGGGGGGGTGAAAAAGCATGAGGTCGGCGATAGGGGATGACATGCGTGATGCTGCATGGACATGGGAGATAAGTATGAGCGATCGTGGGATGCATGGGGATCAGGGTGGGATGAGGATGAGGCGTTCCTGAGTAGCAAAGAGGCGGGTGTATGCGTGGGCGGCTGACCTTGGTTGTAGTATTCGCCGTAGGCGGCCCAGGGGGGTGTGGGCAGCACTGCGAGCAGAATGATTATGTCGTCCGCCCGGCAGAACTCCTCCAATGCATACCTGGTGAACCACAGCAAGGAGCGGGGGGGGGGGGGGGGGAGGGGGGGGAAGGGCACGAAGAGGAAGAGGTGTAGGGGGTTGGGAGAAATGGAGTGAAATGGTTGGCGGACCTGAGAGTGGGTGGGTGAGTGAGCGACCTTGAGAGCATGCGACGGAGACACGCATTTCAGGCACCCCCACATGCGTCTCTCCCTCCACTCACGCACTCACGCCCACCTGGGCTCCACCCAAGGTCCACTTAAGGCCCACCTGGGGCCCACCTGAGACAAATCCGAGGCCCAGCCGAAGCCCACCTGAGGCCCACCTGAGGCCCAATTGAGCCCACCTGGGGCCCACCTGAGTCCCACCTGAGGCCCAACTGAGACCCTCTTGAGCCCACCTGCGGCCTCACCTGAGAGCGAGTCGGCTGCCATCGGAGTTGTCAACGGCGAGCAGCAGCACGCGCTGAGACGGGTGGTCCAGAGGCGCCCACCTGGGGCCCACCTGACTCTCACCTGAGCGCGAGTCGGCTGCCATCGGAGTTGTCAACGGCGAGCAGCAGCACGCGCTGCGACGGGTGGTCCAGAGGCGCCTGCTGCAGCGCCTGCTGCTGCTCGGCAGAGGGCGGGGGTGGCGGGCGCACTATGAGCACTGCGCACGTGGCATGGTTCACCACGTAGTCGCTCACACTCCCCAGCATCGCTCTGCGGGGTAGGTCGGGGGAACGGTGTGGTTGTGAGAAGAGGGGAGGGACTGGTGTGGTTGACTCCAGGGCGGGGTTGGTGGGCGCACTATGAGCACGGCACACGTGGCGTGGTTCACCACGTAATCGCTCACACTCCCCAGCATCGCTCTGCAGGGTAGGTGGGCGGGGGAAGGGGCGGGAGAGAAGAGAGAGGAGAGAGGTGAGAGGAGAGTGGAGCGAGGGTGTGTGAGAACGTGGTGGGAGGGAGGTAAGGGCAGTCTTGGGAGTGAGGGGGGTGGTGGGGGAAGGGGGGGGCAGTTGAAATCATGGTGGTGGGCAAGCCACATTGCCTCATCTCTCGCATGCTTCGCGCCTGCCGAGCTACCTTCCGCACCTCCTTGCACATCCGCTCATATGCTATGCCCCTTCCCTCCGTTTCCCCCCTCCCCCACAGTCCCCCCATTTCTCTCCGCGCATAGCCCCGCTCACCGCGAGATAGCGCCCATGCCGCGTGTGCCCATGACGATCAGGTCCGCCTTGATCGCCGCTGCCCTCGCCACAATCACCTCGCGCGCGTCCCCCAGCGCGTAGTACCCCTGCGCCGGCACCTGCGTACCCCCCAACATGCGCGCAACATCCGGTCACACGTGCGCGCATCAGCCGTCCGCGCATGTGGACCTCAGTTCGTCTGTATCCATCACGCTAGAAACGAGTCTTGCAAACGGAAGCATGGATTAGAAAGATTTGGATGAATGCCATACAACAGCGCAACGCAACTGGCGGCGTGCGCAACGCACCTTGGCGGCGTGCGGGTGGGCGCAACGCACCTTGGCGGCGTCGGCCTCGGCGAGGTACTTGCGGACGAGAACGGACGCCTCGCTCGACGCGCGCCGCGACATCTCGTCCACCACCGCCGGCGGCACCACCATGTCTGCCGCGACACGGGCGACACGCAGGACGAAAACGGAATTACAACCAGCGAAACGATCGGCAGCGTGAAGGATACATTTCTGCTGACCCTACCTGAGACAGCATACGCGGGTCGACACGGAATATTTCACGAATTTCATTCGAAATGTAACATTCCGAGGCGTGTGTAGCGGAGAGTGACTCACCGCCTGCAATGGAGACGCTGAGGTGCGTGGAGTCCTGCACGTGCAGCAGATGCAGCGTGTCGACGCCTGCGCGGCACAGCCGCGTGAGCGCGTACTGCACGGCGCGCTCGCTGTTCTCCGACTGATCCACCGGCACGAGGATCGTCTTGGGTATTTGCGACATGGCTGCAGCAGCTGTGGAGTTCTTTATGAATCTAAGCCTAACTACGACCTTCTCGCTCTGGCCTTACGTTCTAGGGAAACGCAGCCTGAATGTTACGTCTGATTGTGATTGAATTTAGTTCTAAGCTATTAACTCCTTTAATCAACGTGTACTTGTTATTTCTGCTTGTCAGGAACCAGCTGTGATCATGCGATGCTATACATAGTATGGAGGAAAGGCAGGGAAATTCAAATCACAGGTAGGAAGTGAAAAGCAGGATATTCCCGAGGGAAGTCTGCTCTGCTGTTCTACTCGGTGGCCTTGTCTCGCGCGCCGAAAATGCATTCTGCCAGCTAGCCGTATGTGTCCGTTGAGACCAGGCCTGTCGAAGTTCCTGGGGCTCGTACTTGCGCTCCCCAGCTCCTCCCAATCTGACCCTTGGTTGGGGGTAGGTGAGCGTTTTGGCGCCCTTAAGGGTCACGGGCGCACCCCAAAGTCAGAACTTGAAATCAGGGCATGTTTGAAGTTTGCACTTACACTTCATTTTACTATGATAAGTGCTGTTAT